GGGGTGTTCCCGGTCTGCAGAGGTCAGTACCTATCAAAAGTGGTCCAAGGAAGGAAAAGCAGTGAACCGGAGACGGGGTCATGGGTGGCCAAGGCTCACGGATGCATGTGGGGAGTGAAGGCTGGCCTGTGTGGTCTGATCCAACAGACGAGCTACTGTAGCTCAAACTGCTGAAAAAGTTAATGCTGGTTCTGATAGAAAGGTATCAGAACACACAGTGCAGAGCAGTTTGTTGCCCTAATGGTCATAATGTTATGGCTAATCAGTGAATAACAATGCATTGTATTTTAGTTTGTATTAATGTAAAATAATATTAGTTACAGGTTGAGAGTGTGTAATGTCAATTGAACTGATTTACCTGTTGTTATGTTATAATACTGTATACTTCCAGCAACATGCACCAGAGAACTGCTTATCTCCTCATATCAAGAAAGCCTTCAAATTGTACACGAAGCCTTACTTCTCTCCAGACAACGGTAATGAACTATTGCATGAGTTGTCAAATTGTCTGCCTGAGTTTTAACTGAAACAATACCCGTCCAAAAAGAAAAAAACCTTTCATTTTATCTGTCAATTTCTGTGCCCAGACGAAGCACACCCTCGTCTTCCATGCATGTGTTTACATTCCTTCGGCAAACTGAGCCTGAGACCCTGGAGATATCCCGAGCTGCAGAGGTTTTTCAAACAACTCTGCAGGTCCTAAAGAACAGAGCAAGACAGAGACATAAAAGGGCTGTCACGACACCAGGTAGAATTGCTTTCTTTCATTAAATCCAGAGGAACTCACCTTTAGAGGCAGTTTCATCATTTCAATTCATGGAGACAAAACAACTTTAACACAACCAAAATTTGTAATTGGTCCACTGCCACTATTCTTACCATTTTAATATTCTACCAAAACACTGGATAATTTAAATAGATACCAACAGATCACTAAAGTCCTCATAAAGAAAATGTATAAACACAAAAGAGGGACATTTGCAATTATAGTGTGTATCCTTTCAGATATCATATGCTCTTAAAAGGGTGGCAAAATAAAATTCCATTTCATTTCTGTAATTTGTCTTTACTGTGTCACTATGCTAGAATTGCTTTCATGGGAGGACGTGGAGCTGATTGCAGAGCTGTCTCAATGTCTTCCTGCAACACATCCAGCCATCTGTCAGCACAGTCATCTTGATAAGTATCGCTCCATAACTGGCCTCTGCAATAACAGGTAGCTAACTGACTTTCTGCGTTTTGATAGGTCAAATGACCAGGACCTTATTGTTATGAAGTAAAATATATTGTCTACAGTATATGAACCAATAATGCATGCATAGGGCCCTATTTTAATTGTGCATGCATAAGAAAAGGCACAAAGCACTAAGTCTAGAGTGCACAGACTCCTATTTTGGTTAATGTGCATCACATCATGATTGTGTCATATATAATTTGCATATAAATGGCAAATAAGAATTAAATTATTCTATTTTAAAAATTGTTACTTATGAACTTCCATATATGTATGCTTATTTTTCCCAAATCTGTATGTTTACATACAACAGCAAATTATATCATTATGCATTTGAAGAATAAAACATTTGGCTTAAAAGAAAGTTGGAAAGGAGGCTGTGACGCACAGGATTTATGGGTTGCTGTAACGGCTAATAATAAAATTACTAAGAACAACAAGTTAAAACAGGCCCATCTGATGTGTGTAGAGGTGTGTGTTGTAGCAGCCTGGTGTAATTTGCAAGTGATTTAATGAAGGTAAACACAGTGGCACTTTACTCACACTTGTGCCTTAAGATAGCTGCAGAGATTTAATGATCTAAAGGAGAAGCTATATAAAGAAGCTGTGGACAACAGAGTAAGAATTACCTATATTAATATATAGATAAATGCAGACTTATTTACCAAAGTTACTGTCACATTCTGCCTCTCTGTCCTTCTCTCCACCCAATCATTGCCATTCTCTTGCTGTTCACCAGATGGCCTCAGACTGTTCCACCTGTCCCAGTCAGCTGACTCCCACATCCAGCCACTCCCTCCTGCCCTGCAGTAACCCCTTTTCCTCCAGTCCCAGTCACCTGACGTTCCCTGCTCACTCACTTGCTCTCCATTTTCCCTAATCAGCCCATAATTACATATACAGGTTTATTTCCACTCCCAACTCTCTGCAAGATTCTAAAACTTGCTTAATGCCTTTGCTCTCTGGCTCTTCTGTAAATCTGTTATTTAAGACTTGTTACCTGCCTATTCCACAGTTGATAAGGGTCATGCAAACAGCATATTGACTCAAAAGATTTTTGGACATAGGTAAATATCCCAATGCTGACTTATTTAAGAACGTGGCTTAATTGATTAAAAACGAGGGAAACTGTTCTCACGAATCCACAACCAGAGGAAACTTTGAAAAAAAAGAAACTTCTTTTGATGCAAAGAGACAAAATGGCTCAAACCTCTTTTTCCACGGGAGTAACATGACTACAGGTTGAAAAAGAAGGAAAGGGAAGGGAAGGGAAGGGGGAGAGGGAATTTCCTCTGTAGGATGTACAGAATGCCATGTAAGGGACAATGCCAGACGAGGTGTCCATTATTCTAATGGACTTTGCTGCGCTGCACGTCGGACAGTTCTGGCATCCACGTCGTCTGTTAATTCCTGATTATGGACACCTCAAAGGGCATTATTTCACTTATACCATGATAACTTGCCAAAGAAAAAACGTTCCCAAAAAATATGTATTTTCATGCATAAAAAAATCTAAAGTTTTACAAGCCATAACTCTGTTTCCCTGGTAACGCCTTCCTAAGTCCTACAGCATGTGTACTTGGAGTTGCAGCCTGAAGTAGTGAGCTGGATAAAACATAATATTTTGTGCCTGTAAATGTAGTCAGTGAACCTCTCATCTGTCTGCGCCTCTTCTCCCATCTGTCCACCATGTGCTTTGTTATGGGCACCAAAATTTCAATCTGCTAGATGAAAGTCCCTTGTTTGTTTGACTTATTTATCCACCCCAACCTCCTCCTAATGTGGACTTTGTTGCTCTTTATACTTTGTCACCTGACCTTTTGTCCTCCTTTACTCCCGTCATAATTACTACGGGTGCTAGAGGTCCCACCTAACAATAAATGTAAATATAGCCACAAACAACCTATACTGCCGTTTTTCTGGTGAGGTGGGCTGGAAAATGGGGCCTATATCTTTTCTGGGACTAGATCCAAAGTAAACTATGTAAAGTCAATACAAGCATTGGTGAACAAAATTCAAATTCAGACAAATTAAACAAAAGTGAGATGAGGTTCAGAGGCATTTCTCTCCATTTCAGTAATCCCAACCCCCACTGCACCTCCATGCCACTCTCCCATTTAAAATGCAAAAGCACATTTTCGCTTTTTACATTTTTCAATGTTGGTAACCGATTCTCTGCCAAATTGAAAAAGTCCATTTCACATTCAGCTGCATTTTTATTATAGTAAGAGGCTACTTTGAAATTCTATATCAGTGGAGTTGTAATGGAGCTTCTTTTTAATTTCAAGCTGGCCAGAAATTATGCAGTAACGGTTCCCTGCACACAGACGGACTTCGAAGCAGAATAGTTGAAAGCAATCAATCGTTTACTTGGTAAGAAGTTCAAGGAAGACTTTGGCAACAGGTAATCAGCAAGGGCAAACAAAGCAGGCGAAGAGCGAGAACATTAGACAATCTGGCAAATGACTGAGGAAAGAGAGCTGGTATATATGCAGGGGAGCTAATGAGGGAATGGGAAACAGGTGTGCTGATGAGTGATGGGAACAGGAGACTGGGAATAAACCTTTTACATAGCAGCCATTTTGACATGAAATAATAGGATAAACACAGGTGTTACCAATGATACTAATTAAGGCTCAGTTCCATTGAGGTCAGAGTAAAACTTTGATTTTCAAATGAAATAATTTGGAAAATTTAAAATAAAAGTTCTACAGTATTTTAATGAATTATTAGATTTTGGAATTAGCAGTTATGAAGTGGGTGAAAAAGTTCCTATACAGTAAGCTCCCCCCATCTCCTAGAAATTACATTTGCAACAGCAAATACATTAATGCAGCCAGGATAATGTTTGTAATCTACACATTGAGGAAACATTGCTAATTAACCTGGCAATGTCAAACTGTTGATATGGAAGTTAATAAAATGTATCATTTGTTTCCCTGTAATATTCATTCTAAGCTACTACAAGTTAAGGTTAGGGAAATTTTACAATTTTCTTTTAATATTGAAAAGTCCACGATGACTTGAAGCATATTTTTTGTAGTCTAAACCAAAGTGCTTTTGTTACCTAAACCTAACACAACACGGTGAAATGTCAATGTGTCAAAGTCTTGCGCTTTTTACATCCACCATTCACTTGAACATCCTTCCTACAATTCCTGTACGGCACCAAAGAAAGAAGAATGCGTTAAAAAAAATCACAATATCTCTCGTATGGCTGCATCAATTTTTAATGATTCATTGTGGGTATGACAGAGTTATGTGTGCGATGGTAAATTGGTTGAATTCTCTTTTAATGCAGACTTTAGCTTCTTCTTTGTCAACCAGAGGCAACAAAAATACCCACATCAGTCACTGTGCAGCATATTCCAAGTATTCCAGCATTTTTCCCAAGGATGAAGGACCTCAGGAATCTTATGTTCATAGCAACACATACTCATGTCCATAAACTGAAATCACTATTGTACCAGTCAATAATAGACAGAATTTAGCAAACCCCTCAATTAGCTATACATTGGGGAAAAAAAGGAATTGTATTCTAAACTCTTGATGCCCTTTTTGAGGAAAATGAGTGATGATGCATTCAGTGATGACATATACTGTTTTGCATTGCAGTATTTTTGGACATGCTTCATGATTCTTTTTGACAGGCAAAATCCTCTCTGGGGAGCAGCCAATACTCCTTTGGTCAGATGGCTTCCAGCTGAATACGAAGACGGAGAGAGAGAACCCAAGGGTTGGAACCGTGGACGGCTCCATAATGGATTCCAACTTCCTTCGGTAATCTACAAAATCCTGGTCTGACGGACACAAAAGTCTTGTGGAGAAATTAGAAATGAAGCGAGCTCACCCGGCAAACCCAACTTAATGTTGCTTTCCATTTATTTTTCTAACCTGTTTTACAGCAGATAAAGCCCACAGCAATTTAGGAACAGCAGAAGTGTGTGCGAGATGACACAGATTATAGTTGCATTTGAATATTGTGGCCTGTGCTTTAAAATACATGTTTCCATAGCTTGAAAGAAGTTGGTTTCCAGTCATGTGGATGCACATTATTTCTTTCAAATAGCAGATAAAACTGCTGATATTTGCATTGAATTTCAATCTTAATTTATGCGCTCATTACACAAAGTGAGATCCTTTAGTGGAAAAACTCATCAAATATGCATTAGTTGTATCCAGCCTGCAGTTTACCTCCATATGTAATATAATATATAGTTATAATTTGTTATAAAGGGTTTTAGATTTAATAATCTTTGATCCTAGCTATTCCATGTCTTACAAAAAGTAAAAGTCAAGTTAATAATATCTTAGATACTTGATGCATTGCATAACACATTTCAATAAGTTGCCAAAGTCATTTTTTTCCAGAGAAATTAGGATGTGAAAAGAAGTTTGGCAGAACAAATTACAGCCCGTTTGTTGATCTTAAGCCATTTATCTATTTATAACATAATTTAATGAATAAAAGAACAAGAAAGCTATCATCCATCATAACCCCTGACTGGGACATGATAGGCCTTCCCCAGATGATGTGTTCATTTATCTTAATGATGACATAATAAACACACTGACTGATAAATCACAGCGGAGATGGCTGGGAGAGGAAAGCAATTGCACAGTTTAAAGGGTAGTACTCACTGCCATCCAATAACAAACCCTACTGTGTCAACAGCCACTGGAAGTCAGCAAGAAAATACTGAGGAGCTCTTCAAAAGGGGAAGATGATGCCTATTCGCACCTGCTGGTGGAGTGGGGCCAGTACATTGACCATGACATAACTTTTACCCCCCAAAGCTCCAGCAGTGCTGCTTTTTGGACTGGTGTGGACTGTTTGACTACATGTGAAAATATCCATCCATGCTTTCCCATTGAGGTAAACTCAAAGCACAACACAACACAACACAACACTATGTTTTGCTTACCTGTTGTGAATTATACTTGCTACAATCCTGTTAAAGGAATAGTTCCAGATTTTGGGAAGTACACTTATTCGTTTACTTTTTGAGATCAATACCACTCTCATATCTGTCCATTTAATGTGAAGGTGAAGACAGCAGCCAGTGAGCTTAGATTAGCATTAAGACTGACTTCCTGGACTTCCTGACTAGTGGAGACTCCAGGAATGTCTTGCTCTTGACCAAGATATAGTCAGGCCATAACCACTCTGTAAAACTACAAATTGTTGATTTTACACTTTGGTTTCAGTGCAGATTAAACTAACCAGATATAACGTGTTAATAAGTGAGCTGATATGTGATTTTTGTTACCTTGACCTAGACGGAGTCAGGCTAGCTGTTTCTAATCTCTAAACTAAAATAAGCTAACCAGCTGCTAAATGAAGTAAATATTCTTATCTAACCCGGCAAGAAAGCATGTAAGCATATTTCCCAAAATGTCAAAAAAAGTCTTTTGAAATTCCATAGTCACAAAAACAAATACATTTGATGGATATATCAACAGTAGTTTAAGATGCTATTGAAGCAGCTTGTAATAATTAAATTGTCTTCTCTACAGATGGGTGATATTACATCTGATGCACAAGGCTGCATGCCTTTTTATCGCTCTGTACCAGCATGCTACGTCAGTTTTGGGTCTGATATTGGACAAGCTCTGCAACGACAACAGATGAATGCAATCACATCATTCATGGATGCTTCGGTTGTGTATGGCCACACCCCAAAACTGGAGTGCTTCCTCCGTGACCTCTCTGGCCTTAATGGGAAACTCGCAGTCAACGACCAATTCAAGGATCCCAAAGGAAGACCATACCTTCCTTTCGTAGCCACTCTGCCATCAACTTGCCTCCAGGATCCACAAGGGGAAAGAGTGGAGTGTTTCAGTGCTGGAGACAGTCGCGTCAGTGAGGGTCTGCCCCTGACCTCTTTGCATACACTCTGGCTTAGGGAACACAATCGGATTGCAGAGGCATTGAATTGCATTAATGGTCACTGGAGCCCAGAGACAATATACCAAGAAACTCGCAAAATTATTGGAGCTCTGCACCAGGTATGTGACAATTTACTACAATTGTTCCAGTATGCCAAAATAAAAACCCAGTTAAAGGTCCAGTGTGTAAGATTATATATTGGCAGAAATTAAATATAATATTCATACATATGTATTCAGTGTATAATCACCTGACAAACTAGCGCAGCTACTATCTATTATTTGTCATTATCCATTAATGTGCCAGTTATTTTCTCAATTAAATTGTTTTGTCTGTACAATACAAGAAAACATTCTATGAAATAAAAATCTAGAAATTCAAAAATTTTAAAACAAAATACCTATCAGCGCCTCTAAATTTGACAAATTTGTGTATTTAATCCATACAAAACCCAAAATGTAAAAAAACTAGGTTGTTTCAGTGTCTCCACTGGTTGCCTGAAGTCACGGCTCCAGTTAAGAAATACTTCCATCATGTAACTCCCTGTAAAACCCCAAATTGTTGTGTTGTCTGATAGGTGAATAAAAATGTTTATTAAAAAAAACTGAACCAGGCTAGCCCCCTACTTTCCATCTTTATGTTAAGGTAAGCTAACTGCATGCCAGCCCTAGGTTTCCAATTTACATAAATGATTGATATTGATTTTGTCAACTTACTCTCCCAGCAAGAATGCAAGTAAGTGTATTCCCTAAAATCTTCACCACAATTACATGTTTTGTCTGGCCACCTATCCCAAACTCGAAGGTGTTTGGTTTACTACCTATAGAAAACCCCAAATATACATGTTTGACAAACTGGAAACTGAATTGATTGATTGATTATCAGATTTGTTGCTGATTATTTGTCTGTCAATCAACTGATCAACCAATTGTTTCAGCTCTAATTTTAACAGTTCAGTGAATAGTGCTAGAAATGTTTACACTGTATAGTAATTCTAAATAACCTTCATCTTTTCTGCTTTACATAGTAGCCACTGCTTTATTGTTTCTTTCCCCCCTGCCAAAAAGCAAAATTAATTTTACCTTTTACTTGTAAATGTACACCTGTAATACCAAAAATGTCTTCATTTTTGTCAAAACCCCACAGAGGTTTCAAATTAGGTCTAAATATTACTTTTAAAAAGTGGCCTTTGGTCAGCCTTTACTTTTGAGAAACAACATCTGTACTGTTTTCTCCAGGTTTAAGGTGAGTGTTCTTAGTCCTTTTAATTTGGGAAAGTATCACCTGAGATTGTCACAGAGGAAACGTATTTTGTTTGTTTTCAACCTGCTTCCCATGTAGTCATATTCTTAGGGATGGCATGCTCTATATATTGCTGCAACCATCAAAACATCACTATACCTTCTGCCGCCACTATACATCTGCGCGGACACCATATTGCAGAGGTCAAGATCTGCTACTGAACGATACTGAAAGATTCAGACTTTACTACAAACATGACTGTAACTCATTTACTTCTGAACTGATTTTTTATGAAATGTGTTTGTTATGTATGTGAAAAGCTGAACATGATACTGGTTAATTGTAGTAATTAATTCAGTTGGAGTGGATCTAATCAGTTCTATGCCAAAACAATATACCTTCTAAATAACCTCAACATCCACTTGGCTACAGTAATTTGTAGCCTACCATGTGTTGATACTTTATACACCACACACCCACACACACACTAGTATTCTATATACATTTTGTATTTTGCCCAAAGTGCTGGTTTGATTTGCAGTGCATCCAAACCATCCAAACACTACACATGCTGCAACATTTTTACAAGCGGTGACTCTTGACTGTTTTTTAGCATAGTGCTGATTTGATCCGCCCACAATAACTAAATCAGTTCCTACAAGTAACCAGTAACTGGTTCAAATTGTCACATTTATAACAAATCAATTTTCATGAAAACTGGTTCAGAATGAAGTGAGTTACAGTCAATTTTGTCTGCTTCTCTCAATATTGTTAACTGGCGGATCTTGACCTCCCCAATATGGCGACAGCGCAGACGCACGTCAAATCAAGAATGCAGTATCTACGTTTCTAGAGATGGATGACTGCTACCAGCTCTGGCAGCCTACAGTAGTTTCCTATTGCAACCACTGACATCAGAAGATTAAGAATAACACAAATAGCACAATTGTGAGAAATTCAAAGGGATGTGGTCTATGTGCACAAGAAAACAAAAAAAACAGCTCTCTTAGGTTGAGCTGCCCCTTTTGAGAAAATAAAATAAGTAGTCCCTAAATGTTGAAGCTAGACCAAATTAAATCGCCATATTATCTAAACCTATTACTTATGTTTATTACTTTTTGATAGGCATGCTTCCTCAGGACACAAAGATGGGATAGCCCAGAGCCATAAAAAAATGACCAATTGCATAAAAATCTCTTCATATGCTTCAAACAATGCACAGCTTGTCGCATTTGCACAAACTAATTTAAGCTAGCTGGCTAGCTGGCTAACATATACTGTAGGCAGCAGGGTTAGGTGTAGGGTTTAGGTATTTTTTTTCAGGTTAGAGTAACAGCCTTTTACAATGTGCACATCCCTGAATGTGGATTAAGACTGATGCTGATTCTAAAAAAATTGTACCCCACAATCTCACTGTACTGATGCACCATTACAATTGCTGCTACTGTACAGTAGATACTGTTGAAGGCAAGAAAAACAAAGGCCAATGTGATTCGCAGCTATAACGTTTCTATTGAGGAACACAAATGATCCCTGAGGGGGAACAAACTAATCTAGCATTTATGAGCGTGGTGATTGTACCATCTTCAGATCTTAGGAGTGTGAGCATGTTGCAATTACATGTTATATAAGAAGTTAGAAGGTCAAACTCATATGAAAGATGTAGGGAGG